TCGAGATACATCGATTCCAAAAGTCTGGTGCGTAACCAAAATAGTGCTTTTTTCTTATAATAGGGTACCAAATTTTCCCAAAAATTATTTTTCGATGGAAAATACCCCTTTTTCATTATCTACTTATGATGTTTGACTCAAAATATGAGAAGAACAATAAAAAGAATAATTTCAAAAATATCATAGTAGAGGTACCTTATTACGGAAGTACTATTTTTATTACGCAGCAGAATTTTGAAATAGATTTATTTCGAAAATAGTGAATGCTATCGAAACAAAGCATGATGATATTTTCATATTTCCTGGTCAACCTGCCTGTTGAGAATCCTGACTTAGATCACCCAGTATCCTAGACAGGAGTTGTTAGAAGAATGTCACATAATTTATCGACTATAATGTCAAGTTATTTCTGTTCTGTTTTTAACTAAGTTTTATTGAACCTTCACAACGAATCGATCAGGGCAGTGAAAAACATATTAACGTAGTTTTCACATTTTGGTGCCGAAACCAGGGAAGGTTTGAATAACTAACCAACGTGCAGAAGAATGGACTTGGCTCTCAGAAATACATACCGGACCGAATTATCAAAGCTGATGAATATGGCAAACGAATTAATAAACGCAAGTACCATATATAGATCAGAAAGAACTAAACATTTTGATTTCAAGAGTGAAAGCGTCAAATGAAAATTTGTATATTTTGAACGGAAGATTATTACCTACTTTTGAGGATGACCAGCTCGAAGAAGAATGCGAGAAGATTATTGTCGAGTATGATGATGCTGCCGTTACAATTATTGCAAAAATGGAGCAGGTAGTTAGTCAGAAATCCCAAGTGAATACCGGATGTCCATCCCTAGAATCGCAACTGAATGAAGGAGGTGAAGTATTGACATCCACAAGAAATGTTCATCAAGCTAAATCGGTGAGATTACCTAAACTAGATTTATTGAAGTTCAACGGAGATATAACTTTGTGGCCTGCTTTTTGGGAACAATATCGAACAGTAATTCATGAAAACGTCGACTTAGATGACAGGAGTTGTTAGGAAAATGTCACATAATTTATCGACTGTAATGTCAAGTTATTAATATAATTCTGTTCTTAACTAAGCTTTATTGAACCTTCACAAAGAATCGATCAGGGCAGTGAAAAACATATTAACGTAGTTTTCACACTGCCAAAAATTGCACAGAAAATAAGTTGGGGAAAGATATGCCCCTAGCCCCACCTATTTCCCACGCCCCTGATCAAATTTTTCGGAAAATTCTCAATATCTCCAAATCGGGCATGGAAAGTAATATACATGTACAAAATTTAGTTATCTCAACAAAAAGGGTTTCGGAAATATTTACAAGAAAACATCATCTCGGGCACTCTTTCAGATGGCTATAACTCCCCAGGGAGCCATTTCTGGGGTCGTGTTTATTACATGAACTTTTTTCACTATTTTTGTTCCTAGAATCTGTGGTTGAAATATTTCTACGTTTCGGGACACCCTGTATAGCTATTCTGGGAAGCACATTCACATACATATAATCTTCACAAGTTATTCAGTAAATTTCATCTAAATATAGATCTCCTTCAAATGTCAAATGGTAAATAATGATATTCGCGATAGAAAATATCACGTCGCCCTATACCTGACGGCACCAGCTTGAACACTTCTGAGCGGTTCATTTTGATGATGTGACCAATAAGCACAAACAAAAAAACAAGTGTGATCCAATGAAAACAAAGTAAACATGCCGCTTTGACAGCTTTCTAGAACTCCGATAAGTGGTGTGTGTATGCTAATTTTCTATCGCGAATACTAGATCGGTAGTACAAAAAGCATCACTTGGACACAATAAACTCATGAATCTCAACAATTAATTATCTCCTATATCACGAAAATATCCATATTGAAAAAATATTCAGAAAAGTAAGTACTCCATTGCACTTTTTAGGTGACGGTTCCCCTATACAGTAACAGTACTTTTACTCTATCCTACTAATATCACCCATCAATTCATACTTATCCACTACTAAATAGGATTAGAGTCCCTGTATGTATAATTCCCTGTATATATTTGTCAGTTTTGTTGTAATTGACCATTCCAGAACACGTGATTTTGACATGGTTTCTTGAGGGGCACACAAACTATCTGCTATATAGGTTACCTTTGATGAGCATAGCCCTGGCCATCTCTGCCATATCCACAATATAATAACAGTTTCACCAAACAAAACTATGAAATTCTTTCTGGTTCCAACTCGGATTCCAAGGAAAACGATCCCACTAATTCTGGTTTCATATGACAAATCTTGATAAAATACAATGTTTGCCCCTCAGCAACCTGTCAAATGACGTAATTCTGGAATGATTAATAAGAGTACGGACACTATGACAAGCAGTGACGGAAGGCATAACCCCAAATTCTCAAAATGACTTTTGGACAAAGACATGGATATGCTTTTCCATGCACTTTGGATCTTCTATCCTCTACTGTCGCGGTGAAGGGCAAGGGCGTCGCCAGCGGAGAAAATAGGGGGGGGGGCACCATAAAAAAACTGAAGAGAAAAATCAAATAGAAAGAGTTCAATGAGAAAATCAAAAAACAGAAAAAAATCTATACAGTAAATCAGTTGAAAAATAATCTTCTAGGGTTCTTTGGGAATTCGTTGGTCACCTTTTGACGAAATCGTTCAAGTTTTTGAAAACATGTTGCCTGTGTATACTCATCATTGCGAGGCCATTGAGTCGAGCATCATACATGGTGCTCCTCAACCAGGTTTTGATTCTCCTAAGGCTACTAAATGACCTTTCAACTGTACAAATCTTATAGGGTAAAGGCAACAAGGATCTTCAGAGCCTTCTCAACTTCAGGAGAAAAATATACTTTCGGAAGTTATTTCCTCAAAGTGAGCGTTATCATAAGTAATATCACGATATTCTTAATATTCGAGATAATTCTGTCGCCTCATTGTTCACGAAATTGTGTTGCTGAACAACACCACGAGTCAGGACGAAAGGTAGGGCTGTACGGCAACACAATAGATTTGACAAGGAAATGAAGAATTATGAGAATATATTCAGAACAGAGTGAGACTATTTCACGTTCACGAAACAAAGAAGCATTTATTTTGAATGAATGATTCATTCTGACAAGTACAGTCATTATTTTTTGCCAAATTGACAGACTTCGCTTCGCTACCCATGGTTACATCGTTGTTAACATCTAGTTTTCGCAATAAGCACACGTTTTCTCTGGCTTGTGATTGGTCAGATTATGTGATGAATGAAATAGTCGTTTCAATAATAGCAGAGTGACTGGTGAGCGTTAATCGTAGGGGGGGGGCAGCTGCCCCACCCTGCCCCTCTCTGGCGACGCCCTTGGTGAAGGGTACATCCATATATCTTTCTCTGTCTTTATTTTCATAAAGAAGTGGCGTCTCATCTCACTGGCGAAAAGGGGTCATAGTTTGTAAATCAATTTGTTGAAAGTATTTCTCGATATACTTAACAAAGGGTATATGTACTTGTTGGTTAGAATGGGGGAAATGAAATAAATGAAAGGACGCGCTTCCATTTTTGCAATTCTCCACTACACAATTAGACATTTTAATTTTTGAAAACCTGAATATTCAAATAATTTAGTGTCATGTACGTTCATGAACTGTCAGTGCCCGTCAAATTGTTCATGTCATTTCAAATTTTTTAGGGTTATGCCTTCTGTCACTGCTTGTCATAGTGTCCGTACTCTTATTACAGCAAAAGTGTCAAATACATACAGGGACTCTAAATAGGATTACACAGTAGCCTCAACTATGGCCTTGGAATTGGTCTCAATTATTGTCAAGATATATCGAACAGTCTCTTCTCATCGACAAATGCCTTCTGCATTTTCTTCGCATAGTGATAATTTTATTGTTAAACCAATTGCCGATTAGAATGAAAAAATTCATTATTTTTCCTCAGCTTTCAAAAATATAAGAAATAATAGAACGTAGTTATTCTGGAAAGCACATTCACACATAGGTATAAGCTTTCACAAATTAGGTCGTGAATTCCATTTGAATGGTGAATAATGACACTAGATCGGACACAATGAACTTTTGAATATCAACGATAAATAATCTCATATATTCCAGAAAATAAATACTTGATGGCACTTTTTAAGTAACTTATTACCGTTCCCTTACAGTAACAGTACTTTTTCAAAGTACCATTCTGAATACAGCGATACACGTCAGCAATGTCAGCATATCTGTCTATCCTACTAATATCATCAACTCAACTCAACTCATACTCCTGAATAGGATTTCACAGTAGCCTCGAATATGGCCTTGGGATTGGTCTCAATCATTGACAAGAAATATCGAACAGTCTCATTCTTCTCATCGACGAATGTTCTCTGCATTTTCCTTGCATGAGGATGAATTTATTGTTAAACCAATTGCCACTTCCGTCAGGATGAAACAATTCATTATTCTTCCTCAGCTCTCAAAAATATAAGAAATAATAGAACCTATAGTTATTCTGGTAAGCACATTTATACATAGGTATAAGCCTTCACAAATTAGGTCGTGAATTCCATTTGAATGGTAAATAATGACTCTAGATTGGATACAATGAACTTTTGAATCTTAATGATTCATAATCTCATATGTTCCAGAAAATAAATACTTTGATGGCACTTTTTAAGTAACTTACGGTTCCCTTACCAGTAACAGTACTTTTCCATTCTGAATACAGCGAGACACATCAGCAATGTCAGCATATCTGTCTATCCTACTAATATCATCAACTCAACCGAACTGATACTTATCCACTCCTATATACGATTTCCCAGTAGCTTCAAACATGGCCTTGGCCTTGGTCGCAATCATTATCAGGAAATAACAAACAGTCTTGTTCTTCTCACCGACATGAGAATCTGACATACCAGCGGTAATTGTCGATTGTCACCTTTTTGAAGCAGTAGGTATTCACTAGTTCGTCATCGACAATGATTTGAGCCATAAGTGCCATTAGAGCATTTTTTTGACTGACATAGTGGTGACCAGTACAAGTACACCAATGAACACCACTTTTTTAAACGAAGATTGGCATTTTGAACAACCCTGATTTCTAACAGCTACGTGAGACTCATTTCCAATTTTAAAAATCTCTTGGAAAGTATTGAACACGTAAGGGAAGCCGAAATAAATAATCGGCAACCTTGGTTCCAGCCAACCAGAATGAGTATTCCTGACGTCGCATCAAACTGAAAATGGTGATTGCTGAAAATTTCTGAAATCGTAAAAAGTAAGACGAAAACCAGGATCTCCCAAGAACCTCAAAACTGATTCGTCCATAGACACGTTTTCAACTCCAGCCACTTTCCATCAGATTGAAATAATTCTTCATTTTTCCTCAGCATATTTCAAGAATATGTGAAATAATGGTACCTAGGTATTCTGGTAAGCACATTCACACATATTTGCATCCACAAATTAGGTCGTAAATTCCATTTGAATATGAGTATTTTTCAAATGTCGAATGGTAAATGATGACTTTAGAAATTCACACATATTTGCATCCACAAATTAGGTCGTAAATTCCATTTGAATATGAGTATTTTTCAAATGTCGAATGGTAAATGATGACTTTAGATCGGACACAATGAACTTTTGAATCTCAACGATCAATAATCTCCTATTAGGAAAATATATTTCCACAAGGAAAAATATACTCAAGAAAATAAATACTTGATGGCACTTCTTAAGTAACTGACGGTTCCCTTACAGTAACAGTACTTTTTCAAAGAACCATTCTGAATACAGCGAGACACGTCAGCATATCTGTCTATCCTACTAATTTCACCCATCAACTCATACTTATCCACTCCTATATACGATTTCACAGTAGCTTCAAACATGGCATTGGGATTGGTCTCAATCATTATCAAGAAATAACGAACAGTCTTGTTCTTCTCATCGACGTGAGAATCTGACATACCAGCGGTAATTGTCGATTGTCAAAGCATCACACATATACCTTTTTGAAGCAGTAGGTATTCACTAGTTCGTCATCGACAATGATTTGAGCCATAAGTGCCATTAGAGCATTTTTTGGACTGACATAGTGGTGACCAGTACAAGTACATCAATGTACACCACTTTTTTAAACAAAGATTGGCATTTTGAACAACCCTGATTTCTAACAGCTACGTGAGACTCATTTCCTATTTTAAAAATCTCTTGGGAAGTATTGAACACCTAAGGGAAGCCGAAATAAATAATCGGCAACCTTGGTTACAGCCAACCAGAATGAGTATTTCTGACGTCGCATCAAATTGAAAAGGGTCATCGCTGAAAAATTCTGATATCGTATCCTTCAAGAAGTCAGACGGAAACCAGGATCTCTCAAGAACCTCAAAACTGATTCGTCCATAGACACTGGATACATTCACGTTTTCAACTCCAGCCACTTCCCATCAGAATGAAATAATTCTTCATTTTTCCTTAGCATATTTCAAGAATATGTGAAATAATGGTACCTAGGTATTCTGGAAAGCACATTCACACATATTTGCCATCACAAATTAGGTCGTAAATTCCATTTGAATATAAATATTTTTCGAATGTCGGATGGTAAATGATGACACTAGATCGCACACAATAACTTTTGAATCTCAACGATTAATAATCTCCTATTAGGAAAATATATTTCCACAAGAAAAAATATACTCAAGAAAATAAATACTTGATGGCACTTTTTAAGTAACTGACGGTTCCCTTACAGTAACAGTACTTTTTCAAAGAACCATTCTGAATACAGCGAGACACGTCAGCATATCTGTCTATCCTACTAATTTCACCCATCAACTCATACTTATCCACTCCTATATACGATTTCACAGTAGCTTCAAACATGGCATTGGGATTGGTCTCAATCATTATCAAGAAATAACGAACAGTCTCGTTCTTCTCATCGACGTAAGAATCTGACATACCAGCGGTAATAATTTTCTCGATTGTCAAAACATCACAAAGATAGCTTTTTGAAGCAGTATTCACTATTTCGTTGATTTCGTCGACAATGAATTGAGCCACAAGTACCACTAGAGCATTTTTGGGACTGACATAGTGGTGGCCAGTACAAGTACACCAATGTTGTTCGATAGAAGCGTCTTCACAAGTTCTATTTTCAGGCACTTTTTTAAATAAAGATTGGCATTTCGGACAACCCTCACTTCTAACAGCTACGTGGGACTCATTTCCTATTTTCAGAATCTCTTGGAAAGTATTGAACACGTCATAAGGTGTCGTGAGTCTATTGGAATTCTGCAAGAAAATTTCGTAACGCTCTGGAAACGATTCAATAAATGTGCTAGGGAAGCCGAAATAAATGAATGGCAATCTTTCTTCCAGCCAACCAGAATGAGTATGTCTGATGTCGCCAAATCGGAATCCGTGATCGCTAAAAAATACTAATATCGTATCATTCCAGGCATACAGAGTGCCAGGATCGCTCAAAAACCTCAGAACTGGCTCGTCCATAGCACCTGGCAGATTCACGTTTTCATGACTGAAACTGTTCATCCAGAACAAACCGAAACTAGGCACACCCTTGAAGCTTACAGCGAAATCTCTGGCGGCGTTCAGAATCCTTTCCCCTGATGTTTCCGGCCCGGAGCAGAATGTTCTTTCGTACCGTTTCTTCACAGGCAACTTTTCCGAAGCTAGGATATACGGATGATAGTAGAAATCAGTAGGGGGAGCCGAAAACCCCGGTCTGTCATAGTTGAAAGTGTTGATATCGCACTCGTCTTCGGCATAGGCAGTTACGTAACCAGAGTCCTTGAAAGCATCCCAAATGAAGCGACAATTGTTTAGTTTGACCGACATGTTGCAAAATACGTCTAGCTGTTCTTTACTGTATCCTGTCATGAGTGCCATCAAATTCGGGAAGGTATTATCGCCTATTTTGTTGTATCCTCTCAAACTTATGAAATGTTTGTTGGCGTATGAGAAAGTCTTTGGCATTGTACGTATCAAATTCGACTTCGACATACTGTCTATTCCGACTAACAGGATGCTGAATTTGTTTCTGTTGCTCGTGTTTGTAGCATCTTTTTCTTTGTGCAGTGGAATAGTTGTGGCATGGACATTGGCATAGACATATTTGAACTTGTCGGAACATACTACTTTGATGTAGGGAAAAGATAGATTGACTGAATACTGGAACGGTTCACAAGGAGTAAGCCTGAAATAAAAATAAAGCAGATTAGCATGATGCTTAAAGGTGGAAGGCTAAGAATATATAGTAATAGTACGGTTTTAGATGATTTCGTTATAGGGAGTTTAAGCCAATTAGGTAATAAATCAGTTTGACAAATATTGCAATGAGAATTAACGTATCATTTTCATTTAATTTTCCTGAAAATGGGTCAATGAGCGATTGAATTTCTCTTCAAAGATTCCAATAGGAACATTTTGAACGCAGTGACAATTTGTGGCGACTCATCTAATTTCAACAATTACAGGGTGTTTCAAAATAAGGTGGCCATATTGACAGTAGGTATTGTGTGGGACATCTGACTGTGATGACTGGATAAATTCCTATTCGAACCCTAAATCTTGTCCTAAATCATGCTCTGGATCCGGCCCTGTGTGCGTGGAAAAATTTCCAAAGCCATAACATATCAGTTCAGTTCATAAATATTATAATTTTATTACTATGATAAATTAATTAAATATGTAGTCTCCTTATCTCTATACCAGGTGACAACACAGTAGACATAAGTATAAAGTAGTAGCCTGTATTTTGTTTGTTATCATGACCCATGCCGCACACCATATGAAGCATAGAACTTCAGCTTTTCAACACCCACATCGTCCTACCCATTCAGTAGAATATCGGCAAGAGATGGCTGTTCATTATCGATGATTTCTTCATCCCCTGTATCACAGAAACTAGTCATTATAAATGAAAATTGAATCGACCAATTTTTATAGGGAACTTCATGTTGTTCAATTTTGTATATCTACACTTTTTTGCTGGAGACCGCAATTTTAGAATTATTCAAGAATAACTTGAAAAAGTGACCTTCAAACGCTCTCGTACTCCACGCTCATCCCCTTGGGTTCAGTAAGATGTATTTTATTATTTTAACTCGTCAACAGGTGACGGTAATCTCTCACCAGTTGGCGTGAGGTCAATGTCAAAGTCAAAAATCCCAAAATGTTGCCGAAAAGCCCTAAAGGCTGTGGCCTGTTTTATCGAAAACATTCGGGAAAAAATTGTTTTACCACAGGTTTTATGTGCGGACTCTTGATGTTACCACTTTCAAATTCACGTAATTTCTGACAGAATTTGTCGATCGTATTGTGAGCACGAATTGTATTTATTGAGACAACAGGCATCCGGTTTGTTGTTCGAAGGGTGAGACTGAGACTGTTAGGCCTAAGATTCCACGACCTATATGAAACTGTCATCTCCATGTCGTACAAGGAGACAAAAGATGTTATATTCAGATTGTGGTTGCCGTGACGACGTGGTCTTACCGGCTCGAAAGGAAGAAGGAACGTACTATCGAGGCTACCATTCTGATTGAATCTTATATCGCAGGCGATGACAGTTTCATATACGTCGTAGAATAATTGTCGATTAAATTCATATTTTCGATTTAAATGCAGATTCCTAGAGAAATAATTATTTTTTTACGGTTATAACACAAAATTGCTCTTATTTTATACTGTGTTCGATACATCAATGAGGTACTTAGTTTGACATCAATTTTATTTCCGTATCTGATATTACAATGACTCCATTGTGTTATTATTTCAAAGAAATCTCATCGCTCATCGCTCATCGCTCAAATTTCAAGCAATGACAGCTCTGTTTGATAGATGAGTATTACTTGAGAGGAAATCAGATACAGGCTACAAGACGAAGAAATCAAAAATGCTGTAGAAGAATGTATAGTGTATCACTTGTACGGAATGCCTACGGCTCATGCTCAACTTCATTCTCGTGGGAAATCACTATCATTCGGTGCTCGTTAAACAATATACTATATCTAGGTAGAAAAAAACTGTCTATGCAATATACACACAGATACCGATGCGTATGCAACTTGAACCAACGAAAACGATACATCCTTGAAACCAAATATAGTTGAAACGGGAAATCTCATAACAGCTGAAAGCAACTTTTGAAGTATGAAAAATGTTTGGCATAATCTGAGTATTATTGATTTTAATAAAAATGTCAGAACACAAATCATACGTGAACTGTCACTGTCAAGTGTGAATTAGACCAAGAATTCAAATATCCATGACTTGGTAACGAAAACGAAGCATTTTTTGACCAACCAAAACAATTTCAGCTATGGCGGTCGATACTATATAAGATGCCTCTGCCACTTTAATGATTGTTCAATGGTATAGGGTTTAAATATTTCAAAACATATGAGCAGATATTCTCATCAAAGCGAAAATTCACTTTCAAGACATAAAGAAACTCAAAATATTCTTTAGCCAGGATTTCACGAAGACGAGCAACAAATTAGAAGGACTTTGCACAAACACCTAAAAGCTGCAAGAGAACTACTCCGCGTTTATTATTATGTACCGAATGGAGAACAGCTCTCATTAGCAATTCAACATTTCATTGTATTTTCTGCAGGTGCAGTGTCATTACTTGAATCACGTACATTCAACTGATAGATTACAAGCGGTATTGGTGGATCAGGACATGTCTGAGTTTTTGGCAGTGGAGTACGGCGTTCCACAGGGCTCGATTTTGGGTCCTTTACTATTCATCAATTATACACACGAATTTCATAATTATATAAAGTTCAGCAAGTGTTACTTTTATGCCGATGACACGCAGATTTATGTGTCATTTCCTGAGACTGACCTCTTGGTAGCTAAAACCAGATTACTCTGACCTAGAATTAATTGTATCGATATCTGAGGAATTTTGTCCATTTATAAATCCTGGAAAATCTGTGGCAATGCTGTTTGGTAGGAAAGTAGCTCGTATTCGTTGTGTGGATGCTTTGAATTTCACAATTAGAAATATGTCAATTTCGCCTGTGGGGAGTGCCAAAAGCTTTTCCTTGACTCCAATTAGAATTTCAGCAAACACATCAATTCGATTAGAAGACGGGCGTTCTGCAACCTGAAATTGATTTATGCTAACAGGAAAATTCTCGAAAAGCGGAGTAAAATAACCTTATGGTAACCCTAAGTTCTTTCACATCTCAATTATGGTGACATCATCTATGGACCTGCTATTTCAGAGAGAGATGCGCAACGCCTACAACTCGTTCAGAATTCTTGCGTTGGGCTAGGCAGGAGATATATATCATATATCTAGTCCAATTAGTGGACTATGTTGGCTGAATATTGAGAGGAGAATCATTCTGCATGCCTGTACTCTATTTCATAAGGTAGTCACGACTCAAAAACCTTCATATCATTTCCGGAAGATCACCTTTCGCACTGACATCCATAACCTCAATGTCCGTTTTAAATCTCGGCTAACTCCACCTATTCACACCACCGGTCAATACCTATTGATCCTCTTTTTCCTACGCGATTTCAAAGCTGTATAACTGGATTTCGGATGCTCTGAACGAAATGCATATCTTGGGGTTTAAAAGTCGTATGAAAAACTTTCAACTTGTGAATTGCAGTTGTATCAAGTCCAAAATCACTTTCTGATCACGTGTCAATCTCAACTGTAGTTATATGAAGCGTAAAATATTTTGCTAGATATAAGTTCAATGAATTTACATGTATTTTCTTTTCTTTTTTTTTCTTCTTTGGGTTGTATGTTCCTTTAGGGATCCGACAAAAGCTAACTCAGCCCTTTGGTAGAAATGCATACATTTTTGTCACTATTTTGTACATTCATTCTTGTTTCTACCAATAAAAGCGTTAAGTATCATTATTATTATATTATTATTACAAGGGAAGAAGCTTCCAATCAAAATGAATGTCACTTAAATCCTCATACGATTTTGTAGTATTCACAATTTTACCTGGAATTTTAATACAGCGTACATTTTCTGACAGCCAAGTCGAATTTTCTTTTAGTTTGTTTGACAACTGAACTCCTAGGCTATACTTAATGCAACAAAATTCAAGTAATTGGACTATTTCTCTCACTTTACCCACTATAAAAGTTTACCCGTGTATCTCTTTACTTCATCACCCACTCCATTAATTTTTAATTTTAATTTTTCACATTTATGAATGTAAAAAAATATTCAAGTTTAACTTTAACCACCTTTACCAACTATGGAGTTGGTAAACCCAAGGGCACTAAGGTCAGGTAGGGGAGGTGTACCCAAACGGAAAAGACGTCACGGTTAAACACAATGAAATGGGATCATCAGCTTTAACCATGACGGGTAATGTGAATGAAATATCTCTTAGGTGTATAATATACTATTTCTATCAGGCAATACAGTTTTTTATTTACCAATGATGGGGATCAATTCAGTCACCTTACGGGTTACTAAGGGTTAATAGGGGTCATTAACGATCGATTTCATACTCGTTAATACGAGGTCGACGAGAAACAATATACCTACTCACTTTATTTCATTATCAACTGCTTCGGCGTAATTGATTCTTGTGATATTTGAATAACAGCATGAGACGTCGGACGAACTGTAGAGTGGCAGCTGACTTGTATTAACACGCAACGTAGGCAGTCCGTCGCTTTTTTCGATGTAAGTCAACAGACTTAATTTCGAGCAGGACTCGTATTTTTCGACCACGATGAAATCGACGATGTCTTCGCTAAATGGATCGTTGTCTGGAATTCGACAGGTGGACGTATTGATCAGATAATTCAGATTTCCCTCGAATGGAATTATTTTCTCTGAAAACAAAACTCCTATGTTACAATTGGATTATCTACAGAGAGTCATACAAACACGATGTATCGTTTCATTCGTTTCTACCTCTGCTCTTGCGGAAAAACAGAGAATCATTATATTTTTTAAATTAACGAGCACAGAAATACAGTAATATACCCCTAGACAGCACTGGATATTCCTAGAATAGTCTAAATATGCTGAAAAGGAGGAGTATACTCCGAATATTCATCGAATTTCTAGAATATATACATGCCTCTGGAACATATCTAAAAGGAATATCACAAAGTGAATAGTCGGATATGTTCAGGGAATATTCAGGTATGAATTTTCCAGGAATATGCCCAACTGAATATTCTCTGTTGTATATTTATGAAATATTCCCAACTGAATGTTCTGTGGGGTATATTCATGAAATATTCTCAACTGAATATTATGTGCGGTATATTCATGAAATACCCTCAACTGAATATTCTGTGGTGTATATTCATGAAATATTCCATGAATATTCCTATGTTTCTCAACACATAAATACCAATCATTATTTCAGAGATGTGAGTATCAAACATCAATTAGATGTAAGGGGATTTTGAAACAAGAAGTGTTTATGATCCGATTTTGAACAACGCACTCACAAGAAACTGATATGTACAACATTTTTCAATTCGATTACTGGCCTAGTGGTCAAGGCGTTGCTCTGATAGTCTTGATTATTTTTCCTCCAACGACTTCAGTCATACTCACAGATATGTCAAGCCCATTATACACGAATATGTTGATGTAATATGTGTTGTATTGTAAAAACTGTGCCAACGAATAAATGAATTTGAATTTTTTTTGATAGTCTTGAGGTCACGAGTTCGATCTCTACTTGGGTCACTTTTTTTATTTTAGAATATGTTTATTGGAATATTCCAGGAACATTCAACATAGAATATTCTCTTGGGTATATTCAATGAATATCTGAGGAATTCCCATTCGCATATTCAGAGAATATTCCACAGATATTTCGGAATATTCCAGATTATTCCTAAAATATTCCAATATTCCAAAAGGAATATGATAGGGAGATTCATGGAATATCTGGTGCTGTCTGGGATTATAACCCTGTATCGCTGTATTTCGAAAACGAAGCAAGTAAGGACATATGTTTATATAAACTTCATTTCCTAAAATATCACAAGGAATCACCCCTTGAATTTCTTTGGTGTTATTTAGTTACACCCTGTATTATTAATATTAAGTAGGATTTCATATTTTTCAACATATTCTTTTACCTCAAACATTTTTCAAATAAGGTTGTCTCCTTTAGTTTTCTAATAGTGAAATTTAAAGTGCAGTGACACTTTGGGGCAAGTTATCTGATTTGTCCTTACAATATGTACTCGAATATGTACTATCAATTTTATTTATAGAGACGAGAGAAAATCAGAAAAAAAAATAGAAATATGAATATTCCACCTCCTCGATTAACCTTTAGATGGGATCATAATAGTCGTCCCAGAAACGTTCAGAATCACACATTGAGTGATTGTTGAATCTTCTTTGTGATAAGTATCCATATTTTCGATTTAAATGCAAATTTCGGAAATTAAAAACGAGCAACAGTAAAAAAAAAAGACGCAGTATTTGTTTGGTAGCCTACAACAGAGTCGTTCATTATAGCTAAATTGAGGGGTCATTACTCATTATATAACGATCGATTAACATCGTTATACCGCTACGATACGACGGAATAGTATATATTATGCAGAAATTGGCCATGAGTTTTCAACATATTGTTTCGTACAAATATATTCAGAGAACTACACATGGTGTTACAAATTCGTGGTTAAGCATGGCGATCTCGGTAACTTTAGATAGTAGAGATACAGAGTAGGTTAACAGGACAACGTTGCACCATTTCATGCTCAACAAAATGCTGCTTTGAAATTGAAAGAATTTCCGGAGATATCCGGAAAAAAAGGAAAATATGTAAAATCGTTTTCATATATTACTCAATTTATTTGAAGAGATATTTCAAAATGAATGTAACTTCATCTTTGCCTCTACAAAATGGAATTATCAAATTGGAAATCCGACGTTTCTTCTCCGAGCGGCCATCATCAACTTTATGTTTTTGAATACCGACCTGGATTTTTTATTTCAATTTTCGATAGTTTTTGATCTCTGTGATATGATGGTGTACTGAAACAATTCATAAAATGTCCACTCCGGTGAAAAAACTGTTCAAAAAAGTTATATGGTATTAACTTGTCTTTGTCTAACACATTATTCAGTGCGAAGTACCTCCTACATAATTAAATTGCTCTTTTTCTAAATGCATTATCATTTATATAAAACCAAAAAATGATAATTATGCAATTGTCAATCATTTAATGAAATAATATATTATATGAATCATGAAAACACAATTTAATCAATATGTAAAAAAAATCACTGTTGATGAATCTATATTTTCATGGAAAATAATTAGAACCTAATCGAAGTTACGACGCCTAGTGTTCTTTGATATTTAAAAAAATAAGAATAAACATTTTCTTTTCAAGTCTTCTCAAAAGGAAAACGAGACTTTTATAGTCTCCCTGTATGACCCTGTACGCCTATAAAGAAGAATATCTCATAACTAATAGATCTAGGATGGAAAATCTAGCCAGTATACTATATTTCGGCCCACCAGGGCTCATCAGTCGCTATCGGTCGGCTAGTGTTTAGTATTTTGAATAGCTTCTCAAAATATACGAAGTAGGTACAATACAAAATATCAGTAGGTCATGACTTGCCTGTTGAAATGAATTTTGGTTTGTCGGGTTCCCTCAATGGCACTTGTGTGTAGGACGAATATAGCAAAATCACAGAAATTAAAACAAATACAATCACACATTTTTTCAGGTATCCTCCTTGGTTAGAAATACGAATCTACAACAAAAAAGAAGAAATGTCTGATTATTTTTGCATGACTTTTCAGAACAGTTTTGTATGTTGTAACGGGTCTTCGACAATGAGAGCTACGCTACACCCATGTTAATAGTATATTATGTAACAAGTGTTATAAACGTCTTTTTAGTAACGAGCATTCCAAGCACGAGCGCAGAGTTTATCAACGCGTTACATACTATACTTTTTCTACTAACTCATAATATTCCCCTCTTCAAGAAGATTCCATAATTCCGAAGATTAGATTAACCTAGCCACTAACCTGCAAATTAATTCGAAGGAAATGGGATTTGAGAACATAATACTATGCAATTTCATGCAACCAACGAGACACGTAGATTGTAGATAGTAGATGGGTCGTATAGGCTAGGAGACCTCTCGATCACTGCGACCTAGAAGATCTATTGTGATTACCCCTATCTAGTTTTGGTCCTCTAACCCCGAGTCTAACCCTAGACTTCTGATGAAGCCTACAATTTTCCTGACGGTTGAATTTTGCACCTCAGCAGGGGTGAGATATATATACCTGTTCTAGATGGTTCAGCCTTTGGCGGACTAATACTCCACATGAGCAAAGTACGTGTTCCGCGGTTTCGGTCGTATTGTTACAAATGCGGCAAGTGTCAGTCTCCGCCAGGCCCATTTTTTTGAGGTGGTACCTCAGAGGGCCGTGTCCTGTGAGAAAGCCTGTGATAAGCTTTAGCTCTGGTTTGTTGAGGCTGAGTAGCTCTTTGGCTCGGTTCTGCGAATGGTCGATGAACCTTCGCTTGTCGTTGACCTGGAGTTGCCCTCCAGTAGGAGGACTTTACAATTTCATCCCATTTCCTGAGTTCTTCCTCTAGGTGACATTTGCTTATCCCACAAAAAGGCTCAGGAACAAAAAGTACAGATGAACGAGACTCTAAGTGATATTAGTTTTAGATGTGTCCAGTCCATAGGATACATGAATTTTACTAACATTTGTGAATAAGAAGATTTCATCTGACGTAGAAGATTCGCTGAGGTATCAAAGATTTCGATTTCTCTGGTTTGTATCTATATTCCGATTGCATGAGTTTTGCCTACATAAATGTTCTTACGTTCATATATTGTCATGCTTAGAAAATATGCAAATACCTAAAACATTATCTTCAATTTCACTTCCGTCTACATTTCGCATGATTTCGCATACATTTTTAATGAAGAATTCTGATACGAACAGAAATGATGATTGAGATGAATGAGAAATGAATTATTCTGATTGTCACCGATTGCAAATTGCAAAAAGACAGGACAGACAGGACTCAAACGACTGAAGGTGTTGAAGGAATATTCTCAGATAAAATCAGAACATAAAAAAATGAAAATACATTGAGAATTCGCATTCTTTATGTGCCACGACGAACATTGAATTATTCTAATGAACATACACGATTAGAATTTGAAAACAAAATCTGATGTTGTGAATTTGTATTATCCTTCAGATAAAAATATGTATATGCACCTAATATCATTCTGAATATTCAACAGAAAACACCTACTTTCCTGGCTATCTACCACGTCGCACATTGACTTGATGATGTATTATGATATGAAATTATAACTTACCAATATACAAATATAACTTACCAATATAAATGTATAAGTCAATGTTCGACGTGGTAAATAGCTAGGAAAGTAGTCGTTTTCTGTTGAATATTCAGAATGATATTAGGTGCAAATACATGTTTTTATCTGAAGGAGAATACAAATTCTCAACTCCAGAAGATTTTGTTTTAAAATTCTTATCTCACAAACAGGTAACATCATGAATGAACTCATTTCGAATTTCAAACCCTCCTCAGTAACCTGAAGTCAAGTTATTCTTTCAGCCATTCTTCATGATATACACAAATTTCATTTCTCTATAATGTAATTAAAACCGAGATTAAAACTATAACGAACTGAATCTGAGAATTATTTGTTGACATTCATTCCCTGTCATCTGGATGTATTTGTTTTTGGATGTATGAAAAATTGAAATTCATCATACAGGACGTGGAGAGATATTCTGAATTGAAAAAACCTAATCACGAAACTGCGATTGAAGGTCTATAAAAATAACAAGTTTCTATCATTATGATTGATAGATCATTTAGCATGATACATAATAAATGCCATTTTAGTTATGTGAGTAGAAAAAGAGATATACGACTGTATTCTTGGTTGCGCAGTATATGTAATCTGTCACGTGGTTTTCAATAATTGTTGAAGACCCTGAATATGAAACAAATATCTGCTGGGTGATTTTTATATTATGATTATAATATTCAAATTTATAAACATCCACGAATCAACTTTTTTATCAACTTGTCACTGTTAATTCGTTACTTCTTTTTGTTCATTTCAGCATTTATTATTAATATGCGAACAGCGAGGCGAACAGTTTCTATCAACGTATGGCCTAAAATTCATCCTCACTGAGATATACAGAGGTAAGTACCTTCGCCCAGTTAACCATGAGATGTTGAAATGATGTATACGAGACATCACTTTGTGACATGCGATATCGCATTTGAAGTCACAGACATGGGTTTCAGAATTCAAAAAATACTGATAAACGCATACACGCAATTTTCTCATTCTTGGAAAAGGTTTACATGAATTTGAATGAAGGAGAATCCATTGCAGCAGTATTTTGTGATTTTTCAATGGCCTTCGATTGTGTTAATCATGGAATACTGCTGCGAAAAATGCATCGATATGGAATCAGAGGAGTATGTCTCAACTGGTTTAGGTCATACCTCGATAACAGATCACAGATGGTAAGAGTAGACAATGTATATTCTAATCTATCGAATATAAATTGTGGTGAACCCCAAGGATCTGTTTTGGGCCCTATTTTATTCTTACTTTACCTTAACGATCTCGCTACAATGAGTATTGAAGGATCCTTCACAATTTTTGCAGACGACACCACATATTATTATGACATGGTAAAAAAATTTAATAGTTCAATAGGAAATTTGTGAAATTCTGAATTTCTTTGATACCTACCATAATATGTTGGTATAGATAATATATTGGGTGAGTCAGTTTGTGAGTTTTGTAGCAGGACTGCAATAGCTTGAAGAAGATAATATTTTATAAGATAACAATCTCATATAAACATGAATATGCATTTAAGCCTGTTTCCCTATATACAGGTGGATTGATATGTTTATAAATATTTTGTGTTTTTCTAGTTCCGCCACTGAGTTTCATTAACACATCTTAAGGAAGCTTTTGATCATTCCAAGCCTCCTAGTCAATTATTGAGAAAAGTCGAATAGAGTGTGATTGAAAAATAAAGTTTCCTCACAAGTAAATTATATTTTTCGCATTTATCTCGAGATCCATAGTTTTCGAAAAAATTGAAGAAGAGCAAAAATGTTCCAAATAAAACAGAGAATCTGAATTAATATTCCCCAACGACTAACTACCGACTGCCTCTTGTGGATACACCTTGAGGAGCGAAATTGGGCTTCATTTCTGATATTGAATGGAACCCACGACCGGCAAGCGGACGCGGATTAGAATATTGACGCTTCGTGTGCGCGGCTACCTGGCCACTATTATTCTACTACCCATTTTCTAGTAGTGTTTTCATAATGTATAAGTACCCAATTTTGACGAAAGAATCATAATCTCCAGCCCCGAAAACCCCCAGTTACCAATTTTGGATAGAATCGGATCTTATAATAATTACAAAACTCGTTCACCATATTAATCATTCCAGAATTACGTCATTTGACAGGTTGCTGAGGGGCAAACATTGTATTTTGTCAAGATCTGTCATAGAAAACCAGAATTAGTGGGATCGTTTTCCTTGGAATCCGAGTTGGAATAAGAAAGAATTCCATAATTTTGTTTGGTGAAACTGTTATTATATTGTGGATGTGGCAGAGGGACGGCCTGGGCAATGCTCATCAAAGGCAACCTAACAGATAGTTTGTGTGCCCCTCAAGAAACCATGTCAAAATCACGTGTTCTAGAATGATCAATTTGGATCCGTCATCTCGAATTTTGTCGATAGAATCATGATCTCCGACCACGATAAGATGAATAGATTCAGATCATAATTACAAAACTCGACCGGCGTATTGGATTATCGCCCTCTTGAATTCACCATTTTGACAGGAAAATCATAATCTCCGACCTCTAAAACCCCTAGATATTATCGGATATTATAAAATGAAATATTTCAATCAACTTTGTTGTTAAATGTAAAAATAGCCTTGGCTGAGTTTTGCCCAAATAAAGACGACTTTTCATTATTATTATATTAAATAGTTAGGAGTAGGATGGGATTTTGGAGGGAACTGTTTTTTTTATTTCTTGAAGCACAGCACGAAACAAAATGTCTTCAATGTGTAGAAAAAAGTATTTTGTATGCATTGAATTTCGAACCCCTGGGAATTCGTAAAATTTGTATACCTCTATCAGGATGAATCGCAACCACGCAGGCGCTACTTTGCTGTTTCTGATTGGTCCGTAGAAATCGCCTATTGGTAATTCATGGTCATCTGAATTCTTGCGTCCGAAACGGTCAGAAGCATGCGCAGTTTCACAGAACTGTATGTTTTTTTTGGGTTCTGTGGACTTGTGCATGCTTCTGACGGTTTCGGATTGTTTATTTTCTGAACGCGAACAATCCTAGTTAGTACTGCTGTCAAAGGTCAGAAGGTCACAGCAAAGAGGAAATCTATGGTCACAGATACTACTGTTCTGAGAAATGATGTTGACAGATCATATGATAATAGTTTTGTTTGTGTGGTTGCTGGTTTGTAAAATAATTGTAAACGTGAAATAAAAAATAAAATAATTGGATGTTGTGTCTTGTGTCGTGATAATCGTGATATGGTCGTGATCGTGAATTTTCAATGTGAGATTACCAGGAAGGATAAGGATATGTCGTCGTCGAGTCGTTTTCGATGGTTTAAGTGCGAATATGAACCAACAAGAACACAGGACGATATTATATAGTCTGGAATGGACTCGATATTAGTATTTGTTTGCTCTCGAGAGTTTTGCTGTTCGAGCAGGTATGAGAAAATCTACTAGGTGAGTCGATTTTCAACTTTGTGTATGTTGTGTACCTATTTATTGTCTGCTAATTTTGTATCTATCCGCTGGGGCCTTATTTTCGAATTGAAGGAAGGGGGACGTTCTATCATTCCCCTCATGTTTCTCTCCGTCTCTCGTGATCCATGGAGATAATCACCCCACAGTTCTCTCAGTAAACTTTAAAAAATTAGGCTCCTGTACATATTACATTCACCTCTATTAGTTTCCATAACCTATTCCAATTCATATTCATTCTGTGACAAATTTTTATCAGGATATTCGTCTCTGAAACAATCTGGCATCACTGTCTTGTTATGACGTTAGTGAATGACGAATTGGGGATTCCCTGGGATTCCGTAGATTTCACTTGCTTCCCAGTGGCGTACTCGAATTTCGAAGCATTTTATGTTCAATTTTCAAAATGAAATTTCTCGTTAATGTGCGAAGACTTAGGAAAAATCAAATATTTTAGTAATTTTTGTTAGACTCTCTCATATATATGCCTTGAATATATGCACTCATTTTAAAATCAGCCTGTATATGAAACATACATTAAAACAATTCAAAGAATTGAAATCCGCGTGATTGTGCCTTTCACACGAAAATTTTAACAGAGGTGACGTCAGAATGGCTAGTGTGGAAAAAGAGGTCTAACCTCAAATTTTATTTTGATCCCTATATTTTTTTATTGGTACCACTCGATAGTATACGTCGAGCTTACTCAAGGCTTGAAATATTTGCACTTATTTCAATGCCACCCTGTATATAATTATATTTAATTAGGAAAACTAGATAATGTTTAAACAGTCACATTCAATCTTGATGTTCGCCCAAATTAACTTCAATGGGAACAATGGGAAGATGAATTATAAAATGCGATTATCTCGGTAAATGCTCGGTAACTTCTGGGGTTGATAGAAACTGCAGGGTGGCGCGAGGTATAAACACATGGGGGGTGCATCATGCCTTCCGTTTATACAGTATGTCCCACTTACCATGCTCACCATGGGTATCTTTTAAACGGTGAGAGATACGAGGTCGGTTAAATGACACCAAATGTGGAGTTTGTCAAGGCCAACTAAAATGTGAAAAAATATTTTGATAAAATCTATTCGTTTTTGTTTTATACGCAAAAAACAGATTTTGATCATTTTCATGTCTCCTCCGTAACTTTTTTATTTATGAAAATATTCAAATAAGAATTTCCGAGGGAATTTCACATTCTCATGGCAGTTTTTCAAAGTGATTTCGAAAAAAATATGAAATTCATACCAACTCTTCTAGAATTTGAGGTATCAGCACCAACTTTAGTTTTTCAAATGTAGGTCATAGCTCACTATGACTTAGTTAGAAATAACTTTTTTTTCTCTTACAGATGATTTATGTCGCAGTCATAGTTTTGTGTTGATAACAACGGAGTTATCGTCATTCATACAAAAACAAACAATTATTTGGAAGCCGCCATCTTGAATTTATGAATTTTAACAAAAAAATCATGATCTCCGACCTCAAAAACCCCCACTTACCAATTTTGAATAGAATCGGACCAAATCTTGTCCGCCATCTTGGAGCAGCCATTCTTTTTTAATTTCAACAAAAATTCCATAACTTCGATCAACTTGAAATTTGGCAGGTGTTAGTAAATTCGGTGACAATACATAATGGAATTTTTGTTGAAATTAAAAAAAAATGGCTGCTTCAAGATGGCGGACAAGATTTGGTCCGATTCTATTCAAAATTGGTAAGTGGGGGTTTTTGAGGTCGGAGATCATGATTTTTTTGTTAAAATTCATGAATTCAAGATGGCGGCTTCCAAATAATTCTTTTGTTTTTGTATAAATGACGATAACTCCGTTGTTATCAACACAAAACTATGACTGCGACATATCATCTGTGAGAGAAAAAAAAGTTATTTGTAACTAAGTCATAGTGAGCTATGACCTACATTTGAAAAACTAAAGTTGGTGCTGATATCTCAAATTCTAGAAGAGTTGGTATGAATTTCATATTTTTTTCGAAATCACTTTGAAAAAGTGCCATTTGAACGCATGAGAATGTGAAATTCGTATTTGAATATTTTCATAAATAAAGAAGTTACGGAGGAGACATGAAATTGATCAAAATCTGTTTTTTGCGTATAAAACAAAAACGAATAGATTTCATCAAAATATTTTTTCACATTATAGTTGGCCTTGACAAACTCCACATTTGGTGTCATTTAACCGACCTCGTATCTCTCATTGTTAAAAAGATACCCATGGCGAGCATGGTAAGTGGGACACACTGTATAAGGTTCAATATCGCTTCCGGCGGTTGAATTTCCGATCGAAATACGTTCGTAAGTGAGACCTCGCGAGTCGCGGGAGGGTTCGATGCTTTTCTTGCCTGAATTAGAACGAATTGAAATGGGAGAGATTTGTTTTCAGTAACGTGGAACGTGGCCCTTCATAGTCCCCACAGCAAGAGTTTGCCTTTGCCATGAACTTTCCCTAAGTACCTACTCAATAGTATAGGTGTAGCTAGACGTAGTTAGATGAAGACTGAAGAGGTAAAATTATTTCGTGAACAGAGGTATAGGTATCTAGGTCCCAGTAAACACAAACATCCCTGGGATGTCACATTCATGCCTCGCTAGGTAACAATGCGAGTCACAACAAAACATCATTGGTATTACCAGGAGACTCTTTATTTCACAAAACATTCGCAATATTCCTCACATTTTATTAAATTTGAGACCTGAAATGTTGGTGAATTTATGAGTCTCCCTAACAACCAAGAGACTCACTGAAACCTCCTTGTCTATTTATGTAACGAACGGAATAAATCAATTTTTATGTTGAATGAGGAGTCGCATAATACGTACTGTGATTTTTTATTTGGCATCATAATGTGAATCATAAAATGACCAAAAGGGTCCGAAATAGCAGTCATTGTGATTTCACTAGGCCTCTCATTTCGAGTCACAGATGTGATGTGTGGCATGAATGTGATGCCCTCTTACATCTCTGGGATCAATCTGTGTTAACTGGGGTATTATAATAACAGAATATATTTTATGTATACTTACATAATTATAAATTTTCCATTTTCCTTTGAGGAATAGCATGATTTGGTGTTTGAACTATCTAATAGCCTAACATGAAGGAAGATAACTTTTATCGCATGTTCTTTTTGGTAATATAGCACCTTGGTAATAGCACTTCTTGTTTCCGGTCTATATTTTTTTCTTCATGACTATGCTATAATCAATAAAGGCACTGGCACTGGGATACCAAAAATACGAGAATTCAACATTATTTCACATTAGTCTCAGGAAAACTAGCAATGTTATTTATTCTACAGTAAAAACTGTTCTATTCGTGTGGAATGCTACCGCCGGCAGTAGTCACCGGCTGCCAAAAATAAAAACAAACGGCTGCACAGCATGGACTGCTGCAACTGCTGTTGTGTTTAGAGTAGAGTCTAGCTTGCTAGTTCAGGAGGCCCGCGCCGAACTGTGGCCGACCGAACATAATCGAACGAAGAAAGAATCCAGTGCCAGCTGCTGTTTGGATTTATATTCCCCCAAAGCTCTGATAGGAACATGCAATTATTCTGAAGTTGTAGAAAAATATCATATTTTGAAAGTCGGAAACTCGAGATCTGGAGCCTACTTTTGGGATGGATAAAAATCGTCAAATATACTTCTATGTCAAAAAGGTAAATTTCAATTATACTGCAATGTATACTGTACTAAAAAATAGTAGATTGTTTTATTAGGATCAAAAGTGACACTTTTTTTGACAAGCGAATTTTGCATTTGCGAGGCGGAGCGTTTATGGTTTAGCGAAGCCGAGCGAAAGCAAAATTTGCGAGTCGAACAAAATCACTTTTGATCCGAATGAAACATGCTATTTTTTCTGCAACCGAAACAAATAACTCAAATAAATATGTGAAGTTACCACCAATACCGTGTCATATGTATGCAATGCAACAAATATTGGAAAATAATCCGTGGTGGTGATTGAGAACATTCTACCTGCATCAACAGCAGGTTCATTCAATTTTCAAGGATGTTCGAATTGTAGTTTCAATATAAATACAATCACAGAGTGACATATTTGTGTATGGACCAGGTGCTCTAAAGGCAAATACCGCGTCAGTGCCAGCTATATAGAAACAAGACTTGGAAAATGTTAGGTTAGTGAGCACATCAACAATAAGAAGAGCAATTATTTTTTCCTCTCCGTAATACAATGTTTGTCGCTTGATAATCAAATGAAGGTTAACAATATCGTTGTTTGAGACAAAAAACTATTGCTTGCCGTGATTATCCAAAAACAAGTTATCCATCCCGAGAATAACGAATGAAATACAGATCGAGCAAGTATTTGAATCTTGAAGGCTTCCCTGATCAAAACAAAAATATTTAACTGAGATGTTGATAATTCCAATACTAAACTATAATAAGGTGTATTTATATCTCCAGCATGGGTATGAAATGCCAAATCTGCTGAAATCGGGAACAAATCAGGTAGGTATGCCTCTCAACCCAAATAACCAACCGTCACAATGTTGTTTATTCTTGATGACGTCCAGTAGATCCTTTTTAGTTCCTAGGAGCTAAAGTTCAACTTTAGCTCCTAGGAACTAAAATTCAACTTTAGCTCCTAGGAACTAAATATGTTGCCTAGCAACATACCTATTTTTGTGTCAGTAATAAAAACGTCAATTTTGGTATCAAAATGGACGACTTTTGTGTCGGTTGCAGAAAAAAATATTTTTCTACAAACGTCAAAAAATGACAAGGTTCGCGCATTGATAACAAATTGCGAAGTGACACTTTTTTCAGTTTCCTACGTTACCATGATACCTTGTACAAAACAATGCGCGAAGTAAAACAGAGTGCGCGAAGTACCTACTTCGCACATTGTTATGTAAAATATATAAGATATTTATATTACAATTTTATGGTCCTCAATCAAGCAAACATCAACGAATCCATTTATTTCTGGATGTTCAACAAGAACTTTGTTCTATCTCTTGGAGCTCACGAAAGGAAATTCCTATAATGTTCGTGGAACATCGTGCGTACCTAGGGAGGATAGAGAGAGACCTTTTAAACCAGTTCAACACTATTTTTTCATATCAAGCTGAGCTTATTTTTACTTTAAAACTATATTTTATGACGTTTGTAGAAAAAATGTTGTTTGCTACTCGAGCGCGAAATACTTTGGTCATCTCGATCGACTATTTTTTTAACTCGGCTAGATCTCGATCACCAAAGTAGCATTTCGCGCTCTAGATACAAAAATATAACTATATCACATTACTCATGACAGAGCCTTACTGCTAAGTGCTTATGCTTATGAGTCATTTTGTTTTAGTTTTGATCAAACAACCAGACCAGACCAACCTATATATATTCCTGATTATTCGGTGGCTTCTAGCTTTTGCAGAAGTAACTACAAGTGTGGTGGTACCATGATACTGATTCATAATAATCCGTTAACATCATCCTTGCAATTCACTGATATTCACATTTATGATGATATTATAGAAGAGAAACAATTCGAATTTGCATTGGTTAGTTCTAGTGAAGCTAATCTTTATGTGCTATGTATATATAGATCTCCCAATTCAGATGGTCAAATATTTTTGCAGAAACTAGAAATACTTTTGTTGAAACTACCATCTAAGGCATTGATTATTTTGGCGGGTGACCTCAACATTAATTATGATGACTTGAACTCAATTCTAACGCAGCAGCTACAGATCTTACTCAGATCTTTCAACTTATCCATGCATACAAATAGGCCAACTAGGATCTGTCAATACTCAGAAAGCAAAATAGATTATATATGCACCAATCTGACTGAAGAGGAAATCACTTGCTCAGTTATCTCAGCAAATATTTCCGATCATGAGGCTGTCCTTTGTACTCTCAAGATCATTCGAGGAAATTATGATAATAAATATAAACTTGGAAGGCTATTTAGTAAGAAAAATTATGACAAATTTTACAATAATGCTTTGAAACAGGAATGGAACGCTGTTTGGTGCACTGTCGACCCTTTCTTTTCTTTTTATTCCCTATTGGTGGATTGCTTTGAATCATCCTTTCCTATTCAGAAATTAAAAAATAAAAATAAAAACAAGAAATGCTGGCTAACGAAAGGAATTCGTACTTCAGCAGTTAATCTGAGAAGCCTTCATTTTATCAGGAAATACTGCGACGATATTGCAATTCATAACCATTATAATACTTATAGAAGAATTTATAGAAATGTTGTTAAGGCAGCAAAAAGAAATTATTTTCACGATAGGATAACTAAAAGCGATAACACAATTAAAGAAACGTGGCACATTGTGAATGAGTTTCGTGGGAAAAATATCAATAATTCAAGTGCAAAACTTAATCCCAACATTTTAAATGAATTTTATTGTTCCATTTCAGAGAAACTTACCGAAAATATGGAACATGCCCTGGATCCATTATCTTACCTAAATGTATTTTATACAGCTGACACGTTTGTTATACATGAAACCAATTTGAATGAGCTTATGGACACAATCAAATTAATTAAAAACAAAAGCTCCAGTGGAATTGATAATATATTTCTATAAAAATTTTTGAAAATTTGCCAGTTTTCGTTCTGGAATTGCTGGTCCACCTCATCAATGATTCTTTTGTCAGAGGCATCTTCCCAGATTTCTTGAAAACCAGCATCGTTATTCCTCTCTTTAAAGGTGGTGATCCCTCCGACCCATCAAATTTCCGCCCAATTTCACTCACTCCAACTCTTGGGAAAATTATTATAGAAAAATTGGTTAAAATTCGATTGTTAGACTTTTTAACCCTGCACACAATTCTGCATCCCAATCAGTTCGGGTTTCAATCAAAGAAAAGTACAACGGATGCAATTTTCAACTTCCTCAGGGACCTTTTCTCCAAACTAAACCTAAAAGAAGCAAGCGCTGCAGTATTTTGTGATCTGTCAAAAGCGTTCGACTGTGTTAATCATGAAATACTGCTGCGCAAGCTCCAACACTACGGCTTTAGAGACCAAACTCTAAATTGGTTTAAATCGTATTTAAATCACAGATCTCAAATTGTGAAAACCGACAGTCTCTCAGGTATTGGGCACATTAAGCATGGTGTACCACAGGGTTCTATTCTTGGACCTATCCTATTCTTGCTATATTTTAACGATCTCGTAAATATCAATATTGAGGGATCTTTCACTATTTTCGCAGATCTATCTTATGACATGATAAGGATGTAAATAATCTTCATGATAAAATGTCTAGGGATATTTCCATAGTACGAGATTGGTGTAACTCGAACTTGCTCTCATTCAATATAAAAAAATCTTTTCTATTATCTTTTCAGTGCAATATACCCGATATACCTTTAGGAAACAATTTTATTTCATCTTGCAATGCCAACAAATTTTTAGGAATTCAAGTAGACACTAAACTAAACTTCCAAAATCATGTTTTTGAACTTAGCAAAAAGTTATCTTCTAGTTGCTTTGCCTTGCGTATGGTCTCGAATGAATTGGACATGGCAACTGCCAAAATTGTTTACTATGCATTATTCGAGTCACATGCCAGGTATGGCATATCTTTCTGGGGAACATGCAACAAACAGCACTTCAACATGATTTTCACCCTTCAGAAGCGAGCTGTTCGTTATCTTTGCAAAGTTGGTCCCAGAGTATCTTGCAGAGGGTTATTCAAGAAACATAAGATCCTCACTCTCCCATCTTTGTACATTTTTGAAACAGTATGTTTGATACATAAAAATAAATCAACATATGATACCATTGTTGGATCCACCCGTCAAAATAGCAATTTGAGGCTTTCTATTCCTTCTTCAAATTTGATAAAAAACTCAATAATATATAATGCTGTTAAGCTTTATAATCATCTTCCGTCCAGTGTTAAGGACATAGGATCAGTTGATTTTTTCAGACGTTCGGTGAAGTTGATTCTTGTAGAAGAGGCATTTTATGATATTCAGGAATATCTAAATCAAACTAGTAGATAGTAGTACTTCTCGTTCTTGATGACATATGTAATGTGTCTTGTCTATATATAGTTCGTTTCAGCTTGTTAGTTTATTCATATGCATATATTTGATTTTATGTGTACCTACTTTATATTTTTATATATGTAAAAATTTTTACGACTTTGTCAATGAGATATAAATCTTCGGACAATAAAGCATATTTTGATTGATTGATTGATTGATTGAACCACCCAAAAACGAAAACACGGCATGTATAGTGTTAGTGTATGTATACCTACCCACTATCAAATAATCAACAGCCGAAATATAAGAACGAAAATATATAATGTTTTCAATTATTATCAACACAGATCCCTCAATCGAAAATGTTTATTTTGAAATGAGTAGAAAAATCATATAAGGCCTTTGCAGCGCAGCGCACC